TATTTAATCTTCGATACATGTAGTGCAGACAAAAATACTATAAAAGGAAAAATTCAAGCCCCAACAATCTGCTTCCCCTTTAAGTAAGCAAGCAGATAGAGAATATAGAAGTGGCACTTTTGGTTCCTACTATTCAGGTATTTGTTATCATGTAACATATAAACCCTCTAATTACAGGGACTCCGCATGATAGAATTAAGTTTGTCTCTCGCTCATGTTCTGGTCAGAGAGTGGTTTTACCCATAAAGTGATGTAGGGACCCAGGTTTTATCTCACAGTTTCGTCACCCTGGCACCCCAAGTTCTTTGCTTCTAGCTAGGCACGCTCGCCTGGATGGAAAAAACATCTCTTTTGCTCATGTTCCACAAGACAGAACTACTCTCACGGCCATACTTGGATGCAAGGGATTCTGGGAACGGTCCCCATCTGAGCAGCTGACTGTCAGCCACAGAAGCAGTGGCATCAAGTTTTGGTGGACAATTAGCTTCCTCCCGACACAACGAAGACTAAGCGCTTTCTTGGGCTGCTGTTGAATGTCGACATGTCCACCAGGCAGCATATTAAAGTTATAAACGTCACAATCTTTGGTAACGTTTCCAAACCTCATCTAGAAAAACGAAGGAATAGGATCAACCAAAGCATAGGCATTAACTGACATGAGCTTGGAACAGGGCTAGGAGCAAAGCCTTAATCCTGACTGCAGTTGCTGTCTGATCACAGGCAACTTACTTAACCTCTTAGAGTACTTTAATGCATTTTTGTGATGATTAGAGGTAATCTATGTATGTGAAGGTCCTGGCAGACAGGAGATAATAGATAAATGATAACCAGTTTTACTATGTTTTCTGAACAAAATTTTATTTCCTTTCATTATTTTTAGTTGACACATAATTATGCATTTTTATGGGGCATAATATATCGCTGCAGACTATACTCACGTTTAATGATCCAGTCAGGTTATTAGCAAACAAAAATCTATCCTAACTATTTGAAAATGGACAAAGGGGGAGGGTAATTGGTGGGACCACACCTACGGTGCATCTTGCAAGGGTACATGTGAAACTTACAAATGTAGAATACAAATGTCTTAACACAATAACTAAGAAAATGCCATGAAGGTTATGTTAACCAGTTTGATGAAAATACTTCAAATTGTATATAAAACCAGCACATTGTACCCCATGACTGCATTAATGTACACAGCTACGATTTAATAATAAAAAAAATGTACAAATGTGCAATGGGACACGAGGACACATTTCTCCTATCTAGCTGTAATTCTGCATCCGTGAAACAATCTCTGGCTATCCCCCCCTCCCCGACTCTAATAACCACTATTTTATTCTCTATGATCTCAACTTTTTTTTGCTTCTATCTATGACTGAAAACGTGTGGTATTTGTCTGTCTCTGCCTCCAAGCTCACTCATGTTCCCTGAATGACAGGATTTTTTGAGTAAGCAAACATACCTTTTTTCTTTTAAATTGCTTTGAAAATAGAAAGTGTCATGAAGGGCAAGTAATGAGCCTTATGCAAATACAAGATATAGGATCGTGTGGAAGCCATGCTTCCAAGTATAGCTGTTAAAACATCTGTCCTGTATCCAGCACAAAACTAGAAATCAGTTTAATCAAACAGTATGATTAAACTGCTTGCAACTGCCCAGAATTCTAGTTAGAGCCCTGGAAGGTGAGAAATAAACATTGGTATTATATTCCATGATATAATGTATATATTATATCACTTCATCTTCACATCAACCATGTGGGACATATTATTGCCAATAACATATACACATATATTGTTACCGTGGCCGTTTTGCAGGTGCGGGAACTGAGGCCTAGAGAGGGAAGATCATTGACCAAGATGGTCGTAGTATGGGTGGAACAGGGGTTTGAACCGAGTCTGACTCTAGAACGCACACTCTTACTAGCTCTGCGTCAAGAAACCTGGCTCTTGTTGGAGGAAATGCTTTGCTTTTTACTTTTGTGAAAACGCTCGCACACAATGTATGAAAACATTGTGCTGAAATGTGGTTCAAATTATAAATACTATAGGCATTCAGTCTGGAGAGGAACTTGCCGTGCTTGGGATAACTGTGTGCCAGGCATTGTACTGGGTGTGTTTTCCATCCTTGCCAATTAAGGAGAAATAACACAACATACATGGGAAGGGAAGAGCAGGCACTCTGGAACACATTTAAATCTTTGTGAGGTCATTTACAAGCTGGGTAATTGCAGGTAAATTACTTAACCTTTTTGATCTGGTTTCCTCAGCTGAAAATAGGGATTGGAACAGCTGACTTACAGAGAAGGGTCTCCTGTCATAAATTGATAACCACATATGGCAAGTGCTGTTGCATTCATTAGATACAGATTAAGTCCCACATACTCGGCAGTAAGACTTTCAGGCAGAATAAACCATGTTATGCTGCTGTCATGATATCCCAAATCTCACTGGTTTAACAAACAAAAGTTTAGTATTCGTACTACTTTCCCAGTGCAGGATGGCTGGGGCTATTCTACCACCTTTGAGTAGAGACTGGCTTGGGGAGGCTCCAACTCTGTATTACCGTGGTTGTCAAGACAGGAAAAAGGCGACATGGGGATTTGCCCACTAGCTCTTAAAATTTCAATGTGGGATCAACATATATCACTTCTGCTCTCATTCTACTGGCCTAAGTAAGTCCAATGGCCACATCTAACTTCACGGGGAAGGTCTAGTGAAATGCTACCATGTTCCAGGGGAGGGAAAGAACTAGAAAATGTTTGGCGAACAGTCTTAATTACCACTACCAACACAATCTGCCTGTACAACCTATCTGCCCTGCCTTAAGAAGATGAAACTGATGCTCTGAGAGGTTAAGTCATTTGACCAAGGTCACACGGCCCATCCACTGGGGAGCCAGTACTAACCCCACACTCCTCACTCTGATTCCTCAATCTGTATGCACAGTGTCTACAGATTCTGCAGAAAAGCAGAACAGTTTCAGGATGGGAGCAGGGAGGCCCTGCTCTGCAGTGGCCAGAGTAGGAATAAAATAAACTTGGCTTTTGTGTGTGTATCATGCCATTGCTCCCAGGGAAGGTCGGAAAGGGCAGAGGGGTTTGTGTCAAGCATCAGTACAAGGAAAGTTTGTCCACACCAGAATACCAAGCGCCAGAGTGGAGCAGAAGCGATGTATGGAAGACATGGTGATGGCAGCAGGAAGGGGGTCTCACGGCTAGGACAGGATGGTACAGGAGTCCAGAATAAGGTGATGAGGGATAGACAGGAACCCAGTGAAGGGCTGATCTGAGAGCAGCAGAAGAGGTCCCAGCGGTTCACTGGTAGAAAAGTAAAGAACCGGAGAGCACACCACATTCTCCATACTTCACTCTTCCTATCCCAGTTGGTATATCCACCATTTATAACATGTCTGAAGCCCTCTTTTTCTCTTGCCTTCTTCCTTATTTTTTCCTTGCCTTTCCTTAGGAGAACGCGGACAGCCTCACCACAGTTGGAGGTCCTCTCTCCTTGACCCTCACCGTGTGTGGTAGGGTCCCTGTTACCACCGCCAGGGTCCAGCCCTTCCAGTTAAAGGAAAAATCCCAAAGCCGAGGAGGCCTACACGTCCTCTCTTGCTCGGCAAAGGGGTTGCTCAGCAGGCCTGGGGCCTGATCCACCCCAGGTCCCCGGTGTTCCCACCTCCGATGGCGGCCCTCGCTGGCAGTGGGGGCGCCTCTGCGGATCCAGCTGTGTCCTGGCACCTCTAGCGCCCCCTCTCTTCCACGCCCCCGACTCTTCTCCCCTCCCAAGCGGCTGTCCCCGCCGGGGTCCTAGTTGGTAGTGCAAGGCCAGCGGTTCGGCGGCGGGTCCCGGATTCAGCCTCCGGGCCTCCCTTCGTCCCCGACTCCGCCTTTCTTTGGAGAATGCCCGGGGCTGGGGCCAAAGTGCCCCTGTCAGGGTTCCCCGGGGCGCGCAGTTGTCGCCAGTGGGCGCAGCCTTTCCCCAGCTGGAGGTGGAGGCCAGCGAGGCAGGGGTGCCAGCCTTGGGGGGCGGGTCGGGTCGGGTCGGGGTACGCACTGCGGCGGGAGGGGGCTGTGACTCACCGCTTGTAACCCA